TCTCCCCTAGAAAAGGTGAGGCTCCTCTCACCGGGGCCAGGCGAAAACGCTGACATCTGCAAGGTGTCAGCAGCGCAGGAAAGCGTTAAGCTCGACAGTCCTCGGTGCAAGGCTGTCGGGAGGTGTACAGTTAATGCCTCTCTCTATCCCCACAGTATAAAATGCTAAGACGAGTCAGCAAAATAAATATTTGCAATTACATCCGTTGTAATTTTTCAGCTTTCATTCCTACTAATGAGTATTTAAAATATACTCACGTAGCGCTTAATGCTACATGTCATTATTCCAAGTAATGACACGCTCCTATTGCAGTGACGTTTACAGACAAGCAATACCGACTTGGTTCAAAGTAAATCAAAAAGTCTTCAACACCTCCCCGTCTTTCGTCAAACCCTGAAGCAACCACACTGCTGGTTCTCCTGGTCTTGCAGGATACCACCCGCCTGCTGGAAGCTCAGCTTTGGGGAGAGACGGCCTGCTGTTGGCAGCACCGGCTGAGCGCAGGGGAAACCTGAGGTCCCTGACTCGCAGGGACATCACGGGTTCCTCTGAACTTGGTTAATCTCCCTGTTTGTCTTTGTTCTCCCCTATAAAAGGTGAGGCTCCTCTCACCGTGGCCAGGCGAAAACGCTGACATCTGCAAGGTGTCAGCAGCGCAGGAAAACGTTAAGCTCGACAGTCCTCGGCGCAAGGCTGTCGGGAGCCCAACCTGCAAGGACTGGGACTGTCTGCCCCTGCTCTATGCTGCATAAATCCTCTCCAAAAGCCTGAGCACACAGTGACAAGCAGGAAGAGTAAAAGCACATTAGCTAAGAGCTCGAGAATACCTGGCATTCAGCACAGAATTGCAGAATGCTTTGGGCTGGAAGGGACCTTTTCAGAGGCCGTCGAGCCCAACCCCCCTGCAGTGAGCAGGGACGTCTTCAGCTCGATCAGGTTGCTCAGACCCCAACCAACCTGGCCTTGAATGTTGCCAGGGAATGGGGCATCTCCCACCTCTCGGGGCAACCCGTGACAGCGGGAACACCAGATCACAAATAAAGTGATCCCGGCTCGTTTTGGGTAAGGAATTCAGACTCAATGCCCCAAGTGCCCTGCGTTTCCCAGATGGGATGTGTTGTCACGCCTCTCCTTTGGCCACCCCATCCGCGCTGCCCGCGGGAGGCACGGCCACCGGGCAGCAGCCCCGCGCGACCCAGGACCCCCGCCCGCCTACCTGAGGCTGTTGAGGCTCACG